ACTATTTCTGTTAACTTGACTTCATATTCTTCATAATTAGAATCCTAGTCTGCATCTTTTTGTGAATGGCTTGTTTCACTTGGTATAAGGTCTTCAAGGTTTGTCTCTATACGCCATAGTTGTTGTTTTTTTCTTCATCAGTGACTACAGATTCTATTCATAATTCTGGTAGCATTAACATAGAAACCTGTTTATGCTGGGTCTTAGGGTTCAGACACAGTTGGAGTCATTCCACACCCCCCAATGCCTGTGGCCATGTTCTGCCATAGCCCTCACAGACTTGGATGACAGGTAATATTGTTCCCTTGGACAGATCTGGCCTAAATCCACATGGCCCCAAGACAAAAGGTTTCAGTTGGTACAGAAGACAGGCTGTTGTTAGCCAGGTGTCATCGCAAGTGCCCACTGAGTGCATGCTGAAGTTGTGGCTTTTGTATCAATAATTCCTGCCTCAAGAGGGGCTTTCATTCTCCTAAATAATGTAGGTTCAACTACACTAGTAGTTGCCTTTTTTAGCCACCCCCCCAAAAAAATCAAAGGATAAAAAGGCCACATCCCAGTGCCAAGAGGCAGTCCATTTTGCTGCACTTTTTCTCTGAACTCCTAAGTTATATGCTGAATGTGGGGCTGGGTGGAGGGATATTCTTATTCCATCCCTGCACTGTCTCCTGTTTCTTTTTACATTTTTTTTTTATTGGAGAGTCAGATATACAGAGAGGAGGAGAGATAGAGAAGTTCTTTGATGATTCACTCCGCAAGTGGCCACAATAGCCGGTGCTGAGCAGATCTGACGCCAGGAGCTTCTTCCAGGCCTCCCAAGCAGGTGCAGGGTCCCAAGGCTTTGGGCCATCCTTGACTGCTTTCTCAGGCCACAAGCAGGGACCTGGATGGGAAGCGGGGCCTCTGGGACATGTACCAGTGCCTATATGGGATCCCAGGTTTGCAAGGTGAGGACTTTAGCCGCTAGGCTACTATGCGGGACCCCTCTTTTTACATTTTTTGAGCTACTGCAGTAGCCTTTAGTGTGGGTTCACTAATGAATTAGAAAAACATTGGGCCTTTCAATCTTTTGACCACTCTTTAATCTCAGAAAACTTCGTACCAGCTTTTTCCCCCGAGGTTTACGTTTAAACAGTTCCTTTCCATCTTTTAAATTGATAATCAAAAAAAAAAAATGTGTCAGCTACTTAAATGACAATTTAAAAACACAGTGTCACTGCCTGCTTGCCTCCATGCTCGCACTCCAGGTCTGGGGCTTCCAGGAGCCTGGAAAGGTTTATAATGCAGTGTGGGAGGCACAGCCGTACTTGGTGGCCACGACACTGATTGGCTCCTCACACTTCCTCTTGGATGTGTCTACCCTCTTGATGAACTTGAGAGCTGGTCTGTCCTTGGAAACGCTGCGCAGCTCCATGCTCAGCACTCTTAAAGGACATAGCCACACACCTCCCAGATCTTGTCCCAAATGGACTCGGTACTCTTGGTGAGGCACCTGTTGCAGCAACTGAAGCCTGGAGTTTCTTCTGGGTCTCCCAGCACAGGGGTCCAAGCGCGTGGATTATCTGCTGCTGCTTTCCCAGACACATTAGCAAGGAGCTGGATGGGGAAAGGAGCAGCTGGGACCCAAAACAAGTATCCATATGGAATGCTGGTGCTGCAGGCAGCCACTTAGCATACTATGCCACAGTGCCAATCCTAAATCTCCAGTTCTTACAACTCCCTTTGGTAAGAAAAGTCTTTCACCCCCAAAGAGAATTAGCATTATATCTTTTTGAGGTTATACAAACAATACACAGGATTATACAGACACAACATGATTACTGTGAGGAAGACAAACATAAAAGGAAAAAGTGACAGTCAACCAAAGTCCTAACATCTGTGACAACCACTGAAGCTTTGTCACACCTGAGCAGAACTGAACCAACTTTTTCACAACAGCAGTTAATGTTGCCATACATCCTCTGGCAAGATTCCGGGAGGCCAGAATGAAGCAGCAGTCATGTAGTTTCCACGTGGTCACCTCCGTGGCCTGCAGCTGCTCCTCTCACTAGCTCTTGAGCTCCCCTGATGCAAGGGCTCAGTGTCTGCCGCAGGCCCACAGCACCAGGGTTGGAGATGAGCCCTGAAACAGGTTCCAGCACATCCTGGGGCTCCAGCATGGCGTCCTTCTTCCTGCCTCCCTATAGGCTTCATGCTGTGCCATGGGACCTGCCACTTCCTGAAGCCGCCTAAGGTGAAATCCCTGTTTATATGAACTAGTCTGGAAATTAGGAAGCTGACCTATGAGCAAAGTGTTTGAAAAAAGTCCCAGTTAAGTATGTGGAAAATGAAGCCTACACAGTAGACTTGCTTTGAACCCATAGCTCAAGGACTGCCTGTGTGGGTGGATGTTTGGCCCAGTGGTAAGATGGCCACATGGCACGCCCACAGCCCACGGCACAGTGCTCTCTGTTCCAGCCCCAGCTTCCTGCACACATGGGAAGCAGGAGGTGATGGCTCAAGTACTGGGAGTTCCTTCCACACAGGTGGGAGACCCAGATTAAGCTGCTGGTTGCTGCCGCCCACAGCTATAATGAGCATTTGGGAATGAATTAGCAGAGAGAAAATCTCAATCTCACTTCATTTAAAATAGAAAAAAAAAAGAAGCTCCACTGCATGTGATTTCCTTCTCGGACAACACTGTAGACATGAAGGTTTGGGTTGCCTCCCTTAGACCTGGATTTCTCTGGCAAGCAGCTTCTGACTGCAGTGGTTTTTCAGTTGCATTACATACTTACCACTGCAGGGTCTGTGCTAGAGAACAACTAGCAATGGGACGCCAGGGGGCGCCTGACCAGCCTTCAGGGAATGCCACATCCCTGCAACAGCAGAGCCCTCAGAGAAGGAGGGCAGTCCGTCAACTGAGCGCTGGAGACGCTCCAAGTGGCCTCATTTTTAGGAAAAGCAGAGCTCTGCACCACACACATCAAAGATGGCTCAGGAACTAGAGCACCGCACGTGGGCAGGGCCAGACGGGAAAGGTGCAGGATGTGACACCAGACAGCAATGGTGTCTCTTTGTATTGTAGTTTCAAACAGAAATCACAAACAGTTCTGTGACCACAGCACTCCACGGCCTAACTCTTAAGATGTAACAATGCTGAGAATCACTTCTGCAAAGCACTCCTAGGGTTGCATAATGGTTTTCATGTTCCTAGTTCTTTGCTTTCTGAAGCTCCTGCCAGGCGGACAGGCCAGAGAATTCCATGGAGATCAAGAGATGCTTTCCAACCTCGAGGCACTGGGACAGCACTGCGGGCGAGGATGCTGACGAAGACACAGGCCCCGTTCCTGCTGAACAGATTACGGCTTATAAAAACACAGGCTGTAATGAGGGTTAAGGAGTGACGTGGAGAGGAGTTCTGATGAGAAAATGTTTGAGCAAATTCTTACTGTACTGAAGGGACAAACGTGAGAAATAATACAAACTGTACCCCTTGGCAACTGAGTTTTTAAAGGCAATCTCACAAAATGACTATAAATCTCCCCAATTTGCAGAATTTGCAACATCTATTTTTAAATGAAGGCAGAGTGATTCACTTAGCTTCAGTAAATTTTCAGCAGTAAATTAATACAAGATTGGCTGTAGCTTCAAGGTGGCACTTGAAGGCCCGGTGTGATGGATCAATTGGCTAGTCCTAGTTTGGCTAATCCAAAACTTTAATACCTAAGGAATATTAAAAATAATACAGGAAATGTAAGTTTATCAGTTGCAAATACAAAACAAAGGTGTTACAGAATACATTGTCATGAAAATGCAGACTGCACAGAGCTCACAATTCAGATAAAGGAGAGGGGACTCCTAAGTGGCTAAAGGGAGGCATCTGGAGAATTCCTCCCACTTCAAGAGGAGGCTCCCTCATCCCCAGCTGCTTGAGGCTAGCAGCGTCACAGTCCTAAAGCAGCCCTCCAATCCACCCCAGGGAAGAGACTGCTGGCGGCTGGCACAAGTAGCAGCTTCCTTCCCGGGTACACAGCGAGAGCACATACCTGGGCCTCCCCTGCACATGTTGTGTGGTACCCAGCGAAAGCTGAGCAAGGCAAGTAGACTGCTTCCAGAATGTAGCTCTTAAAGAGAGCCCGGTACAGCAGCCTAGTGGCTAAAGTCCTTGCCTTGCATGTACCAGTATCACTTATGGGCACCGGGACTGTGGTTCATATCCTAGCTGCTCCACTTTCCATCCAGCTCCTGCCTTGTGGCCTGGGAAAGCAGTCAAGGATGGCCCAAAGCCTTGGGACCCCGCACCTACATGGCAGCCCTGGAAGAGCTCCTGGTTCCTGGCTTCGGTTCGGCTCAGCTCCAGCCATTGTGGTCACCAGTGAATGGAGGAGCTTTCTGTCTCTCCTCTGTAAATCTGAGTTTCCAATACAAATAAATAAATCTTTAAAAAAAAGAAAAAGGAGGAGATTGCTTTCCTTGAGCTTCTTTAAAAAACTTGGGCTGAGAAAGGCAAGTATTCCTTACGTAAAAAAGGAACAGTCATGAATTTATAACAGTAACTAACATTACCCCAACTTATGAGTTCTCACTCTAAACTGACTTTTCCTTAATATAAATTTGCTGCTTAGGCTTACTTTTGTGTGATTAAAAAGAAGGCACACAAACAGGATATCCTCATTTTTGTTCTCCACAAATGGTTTTTTGCAATTAATATAGCAGTGATTTTACAAATCATCAACACAAAGTTTAACACCTTTAAATTTTAATGAAAAGGTATATGATCAAGTTAAAAATTACAAATTTAATTTGCTTCAAGGAAAAAAAAGATGTGTGTGCATATATATATACATATATATTTATATGTGTGTATGTGTGTGTATATATAATATATATATATTATACAAAAATTAGGCTGCAAAGCCCTAACATTTCAAATGTATTTCTTTCCTCCACACAAAGCTGGATTTAGGTAACAACAGTACTATTAATTTAAAAATAGTAAGTGAACACATTGTTCATGAGTAATGTTTTGTCCACTTTGTACAACTCCCTGAAGCCGTTTCCATTGCTAGCACCCTCGGTTCGCCAGGGTGTGATCCCCGTAAACCTGCCTGATGTTTTGGGAAGACCCTTTGTTCCCTCTTCTCTCTCCTAGGAGGAGGCCGTCCCCACCCGCATGATTCTGAATAGTGTGTTGATGTTGTTGCTTCGAATTGCATCCCGACAAGCAGTGATCACCTGGTTCTTTGGTTTTCCAACTGCAGGAAAAGAAATTTCAAATCAGCTTGATCCAATGATTTTTTTAAAAAACCAAAATTATAAACTGGATTAAGTATGCAAATTTAGTTGCATTTTAATTAACTTATCTTACTGCTCCCCTAAAAAAGACAACTTGGTAATGTAATTTATCACACAACAACCTCAAACCTAGAAACCAAAAGTAAGGTACCTGGGAGAGGATTAATGCACATATCTACTCAGGAAAAAACAGTTCTAACGGAAGTGAAGGAATGGCCCCTTCCACACAACAGCAGAAACTGGGAGATGCATTTTCAACTCTGTTACTGCTTCCTTTGGTATAGTCTATTGTTCCGTTTCTAAATTTCTAAGTGGGATACTAAGTAATTTTCCATCTAGCTTTTTCCTATCAGGAGCCTTGGTTCTATACCCATCCTTTGCAGGTCAATTACTTGGTTTTCTTTAGAGGACAATGGCAAGATCTACAGAAAGGACTTTTGAGTCTGGAGACAGAAGGCAAACAGCGCTCTCTGAGCTGACCGGAGCTGGGCCAGCTCCAGAGTGCGCAAGGAGTGCGGCATCAGGCCCTCACAGAGAACTGTTGCTGACCATCATCTTCAACGAGTCCCACCCAAAAATTACAGACAAATCACATGCTACAAAGGAAACTTACCTCGCAGACGACCTGCTCTTTGAATTGCCTGATTTACTGCTTTAAGGTTTCCTAAGAGTTCCGTGTGGTTGTTACAGCGGATTTTATATTCATTTAGCAAGTCTTTGTTAAGGTCATAGAGCTCCATATAGCGACTCTTCATTGTTTTCCTGCATCAATTAGCCACAATTTAATATCACTGTATCTAAGTACGGCAGACTTAAATTTGAAAATTTCTTTAGCATGTAAATAAAATATAATACCATTCTTAACTATATTTTCATAAAAATAATTGCTGAAATTTACTTTCAAAATATTGAAAAGTTTCTACTAAAATATTCTATTTCTTTCAAATACACCAGGACAAACAGCCTGCCTTGGTGATTAACTTATATCTTCTTTGCCCCCTATGCTAGAAGTATGGAAAAGGGAGCAAAATGACAGAGTATCTTTTACTTTTCAGCTTAACATTCATGAGAAGAAAGTGACTTATTCTTAAGAAAACACATTCTTAAAATGGATTCAACTTCATATTTCATCAAGGTTTTAAAAATGAAGGCATAAACTAAAACCATAATGAGATTTCTGTATACATCAATGAAAGAAACTGTAAACAGCAGATGCTGCCTAAGATGTGACCGGAACTTACACTGCTGATGACAAAACAAAGCAGTCCAGCTACTTCGGAGAAGGATCTGGCAGCCTGTTGTATTTCATACCACATCCTTTCATTGCACAGCTAATACTGGTTTGGATTGCTTCCATATTGGGATTCTTTTAAACAATGCCTTTATTCATATTTTCGGGGACAAATCCTGGTTTGCGTGTGTACTAATTTCTTGAAGCCAAATTTGCTTACCTGGAGAATAAATACTGGGCCATAGAGTTTACACATTTCCAACTTTACTTGATAATCCAAAGTTATTTCCTAAAGTCACTGCAGCAATTTATTTCTTCCTGAGACTGGCTGGTCCACATTACTGACATTTTGAATCTTGCACCTGTCCCAACCATGGTACTCACATGTCCCTCATCAGACGAGCATCCTCAGCGCGGACCAGCAGGCTCCGGATCACATTGGAATGATCAGCCATGTCGGCGCTAAGCTTCTGATGCACAGAATGATATTCATCCACCTGGAGACCACCAACAGTCCGGAAGGAAAAAGGCCTCAGAGACACAGGGGAAAGCAGCGAAGGCAGTGCCTACCACATCCAGGCCCTTTTTTCTTTCCTCCCCTGTTCACATCCAGTATCCTAGCTACTTCCCCAGCTGAACTGCTGTCAGGTGCTGCTCCGACCCCCGTGACCACACTCCCTGTAGTTGCTTCCCACCCCCCATGCCTTTGCATCTGAAGCCCAGGCAGCCTGCACATCAGCTACTTTAGGGGACTTCCAGGGGGTGTTTTATACCTCAGAGCCATTCACAAGCTTTTTTTTTCTTTGCTATTTCAAATTTCAGTTTTTGGAAAGTGTTAGATGAAGAACAAAAGTGGGTACAACAGATAAAATGAAGGGCTAGCAGAGGAAAATCTTAATATGACCATTAAAAAAAATTTCCCTAAACCAAAGAAAATAGGTTCTTCTAACCCATTAACTTTTTTCTTTTTAAAGATTTTTATTTATTTTTATTGGAAAGGCAGGTATACAGAGAGGAGCAGAGACAGAGAAAGATCTTCCATCCACTGATTCACTCCCAAAGTGGCTGCAACGGCCAGAGCTGAACCAATCCAAAACCAGAAGCCTCTTCTGGGTGCACGGTCCCGAGGCTTTGGGCCATCCTTGACCCCTTTCCCAGGTCACAATCACGGAGCTGGATGGGAAGCAGGGCTGCTTGGATTAGAACTGATGCCCATATGGGATCCTGGTGCGTGCAAGGTGAGGACTTTGGCTGCTAGGCTTCTGCACGGGGCCCTAACCCATTAACTTTTATAGAATACATCTCTGAACTAGTAAATTCTCCAATACTAGTTTGATTACCTACAACAATAATTAAAATATGACCATCATTTCTCTGCAGTCTCATCCATCTAGGGGAAATATTCCAAACATTAGACTACCACGTCCTCACAGGGACGTCCACTGGGCACTCTCACCTTAACCAGCACCTTTCGTAATTCCTCAAAGTAGACAGGAAAGTCCGCTTCCACTTGAAGATCTTCAATAGCAAAGAATGATGCCATTGACTGGATGACATCACCAGCCAAGTCAATATCATCAGTTTTTACAGTGGTCTACCCAGGAAAGAACAGAGAAATTGAGCATCCTCAGATACCACACAAATTTAGATGAACCAATACTGTGATGCCCCCATATTCAACACAATTACTGACCATACGCTCATATGCAGTCTAATGTTTATAGCCCTCCAGGAAATTATAAACATATTATTTATCATATCCTGTAGCTGAATATAAGTTCAACCCCTCAGTCTTACAAAAACTTCATTCAGTACAGAGGTTTTTGGTTATTTCTGTAGTCCCAATTTTTTCCAAATCATACAAGGAAGCAGGAAGGAGGAGTGACGGGAACAGAGAATCATGGTTCTAGGTTGTGTCCCGAGTCTCCTATGGTAACACTAACAGACTGAGTTGAAACATTGGATGCTATGACTTGGAGAGTTGTGTCACCACACTATGGAATGAACGGTCAACACCATGACATAACAAATTACCTCTCCACTTGGTTTCATTTTTATATACAGCTGGCCACTATTCCGCAAGGAGGTGAAACACACTTGAAATGGAGCATTCTGAATGGCAGCATCTTCTGGTAACAGAAAGTTCTGGTTGAGCCACATGACAACCTTGAAAATGAATAGAATGATGAGAACTTCGCTTTCCTGGGGGCATTGTCTTCTTTCTAGTTTTACTGGATGGTTAAACACATGAATTATATTTATTTCACCCCACAGTCACCAAGAGAACACTGGTCTTACCACTCTCTTTCCCTCTGTGTTACCTCCTCCCAAGTAACACTGTTATCACAGCTGTCCCCGCAGCAGGCAGAATGTTACGGTGTTTTCTATTTGGATGGACTTATTTGCGATGTATAAATGATTCAGATTTGATGCTAATTCTGTTTACTCGACAGCTCTTCTGTGGGAGTATTCTGGGACAATGTAGGCTGCTTCACCTATTCCATTCCTCAAAAAGATGTTTTCATGAAGTATCCACGCACACATACTAGACACAAAGGTGCATCCACACAGGAAGCTGTAGTGCTAACAACAGCAATGCATGACAGTGGACTGCAGCACAGGTTCTCTACGTAAGAATGCCTGCTCTTGTTTCTGGTTTACAGGCCAGCAACCTACATGACTGAAAAGCCTTAACAAGAATTCTGAAGCTCCGTCAAGATTAAACTCCACTGGCAGTGATCCCTCGGACTTTATGAGGTACTGTCACATCAATCACATAATCCTCGGGCTCCCCTATGAGGCAGGTAATACTATCCTCACCTTCAGGTAAGGAAACTGGGGCTCAAACTGGTGAAGGAATTCGCTAAGGTCACTAAGAATTTACTCAGTAAAGTAGCCCTGAACCCCCAAACAGCTACCAACTCCCAGTCACATTCTCTTTACATCTTGCTATAGATTCCTCTTGCTAGGCAAAGCCAGGACAACCATACTGTGACCACAACAAAAGGAAAGGAGGCATTAAAACCTGGTAAGAACTTGCCTGAACTAAAGACTGCAAATAAACAATGTGTGTATTTTTGAAAGTGAGAGAAGGTATCTCGGCAACATTTTTATTACAGATTAGAAGCCAACTCCAAGGTTGTAACTCGTTCATATTATATTTACCAACGTTAGGACATTCATGTAATTTGCCCCACTGTATGAAATGACATCTAAAGGATTGTGAAGTGCTAAATTATTGAACAAAAACGGCAAGCCGCTCACCCTGTGTGCCCGTTCTGCAATGATGAAGTTCACATAACTGCTGGGCTCACCGGCAGGATCTGGGCTGCTCAGCGCATACATGGAGAATCGTGGGAGCTGTCTTGTCAATTCAAATACGTGGAACTGGGTGCTATGGCAACCAATGGGACACAAGAGAGTTGGGTTGAATGGAATGCTATTTCAAAGTGAAAGATCAGAAAATAAAGTTTCTATTAAACCATTAGCTGCTATGTAAGGGTTTTGCTGAGCACAATACTCCCAAAACACTTGAGGGTTGGGTAGCTACAGTAATGGGATCTGCAATCTACAGATAACACACATCTACACAGATACACATGTACCAAGGGTTTAAAAAACATGACAAAATGCATGAGGATTTTAACTTTGACAAATCTAACACCTGCTCTTCATTAGCCAAGGTGAAGAATATAGAACAAAAGCACAGCCTGACTTTTATATTCTTAGTAGTCTGTGAATTAACAAATCATCAATTAATCTTGTGTGATTATGATGACATTTGGATAAAAATAGGAAATAACCATCTTAATCCTATGTCCTGCTTTTCTCTGTTACCCTCCCTGCCCTCTTCTCTTTGAACACTTTAAATGTCGGAATTAAATGGTAACGGGAAACTTCACTGGTGCACAGAACCATCAGATGGCTTCTCTGGCCTCTCGGAGGCCATGCACAGTGGAAGATCTGTGTGGCATGGAATTGAGCTGTGGCTTGTAAGGTGTCACCTGCTTCGATAACCCACAAAGGTTTTCAAGTGCAGATCCACAGGAACATCTTTAGGAGGGGTTATTGGGACACGAATGCAACTGGCGAGGTTGTGAATGCTGGGGTGTACCACATGGCTTTCACCAATAAAGATCCCCTCTGCAAAAATCAGTACTGCCCGGATGATGGTATCTGTGGGGAAAAGTGGAAACAGCTGTCTGAGGACTACTCCAACAGGGTGTGTGTGCCCAGAGATGCCAGCTGTACGTGCCTCACCATTGGACGTGGAAACGCACAGTTCTATGTGAGCAGCTTGACTCTCACTCCCCAGCTTGACTGAGAGGGCAGTATGGAGCTTGGTATTGGCAGGGATTACGCCCCAATGTCCATCGGCCTCATTCAGTGGGCTGCTCGATTCAGCCTGCAAAACACCCACATATACTTTCAGCTCAGTCACCAAAATAGCTGTAAAACAGCAGGTTCCCCAACAACGGGGAGAATTCAAAGAACTTACCTCCTCAGTGCTTCCCTGCTCTCTCCAGCCCGGTGGGAAACACCCTTGCCCTTTTCCATGGGCACTGGACCCCTTTTCCAGCCCACTGGACCCCTGAAGCTTTCTTATGTTGAGTTGTGTTGTTCTTCCCAAATAATGAAATTGTATTTGGGAGGACAAATTCAAACACTAACATGTATGACAGGACAAATTCAAGTCTCCTTCCTTGGCTTGTCTTCTAGCCACTTCGGTCTTCACATATAAATTTTTCTTGTCAATTATTGCATTATTTGTTTTGGAGATCAAAGGGCCTCTATTCATACTGTCCTTGCTTTCCATTCATTTCTCAGTCCATCAGCCAAGCCTCGCCTATCAACCACAGTACGTGTTCTCCATTCTTCCGAGCTACTTAATAGTCCCTGACACATGCTCCCTAGCACTAAAGAGTACTTAAGTTTACTTTCAGCTGTTAACCACTACTGATGAGTGGTGCAGCAAAGGTCCTTGAATGCTCTTGCAAACATTTACGCAGCTCAGCAGTCTGGAAGTAATATTTCTAGACCAAAGGTATGCACATGCTCTCTTCATTCTAACAATCATTGAAAGGCCAAAGCCACTACACTCCACAGTGAGTGAGCAGGAGCAAGCCCACACCCTGGCCCATACTGACCCTCATTCTCCAACCACACTTGCTAACGTACTGGTCAGCCCCACACTGACCCACTGCCCCTTCCTTTCAGCCCCCACCTTGGCATTTTCCTCATAGTTCCGAAGTTCCAGCAGCAAATGCTGCTTTTTCTGACTCAGCTCCCGGATCAGGTCCTGCTCCACACTGGTATCCATAAGGTGTCCCCTCATCTCAGCTGTGCCTGGCAGGTAGCCTCGGACTGAAAAGGAAAAACACTCATTAGACTGAGGGATGCCCAAGTACAGCCTGATCTACTTTTAGATCATCAACTTACCTGCTCTGAAAATCTAAAAACTAGGGAAGGTATTTGGCCAGGAATTACAATGCCAGTAACCCATCCAAGGTGCTGGGTTTGAGTCCCAGCTCCACTCAAAATCCCAGCATCCTGCTAATGCAAACTCTAAGAAATGGGAGGTGCTGGCTCAAGTAGTTGGATTTCTGCTACCCACAAGGGAAAACATGGGTTAAGTTGCTAGCTCCCAGCTTCGATGTGTTTTAGCCCTGGACATTGTAGATTTGGCAGAGTGAACAAGAGTATGACTGTTCTCTCTCTGACACTCAAATAAGTTAATATAACTTTTTTTTAAGATTTATTTTTATTTATTTTTTTATTTTTTATTGGAAAGGCGGATATACAGAGAGGAGAGACAGAGAGGAAGATCTTCCGTCCGATGATTCACTCCCCAAGTGAGTGCAATGGCTGATGCTATGCCGATCTGAAGCCAGGAGCCTCTTCCAGGTCTCCCACGCGGGTGCAGGGTCCCAAAGCTTTGGGCCGTCCTCGACTGCCTTCCCAGGCCACAGGCAGGGAACTGGATGGGAAGCAGGGCCGCCGGGATTAGAACCGGCACCCATATGGGATCCCGGGCGTGCAAGGCGAGGACCTTAACCACTGTGCCACTGCGCCGGGCCCAGTTAATATAACTTTTAAATAAAACCTGAAACCTAAAGGGGCAGGTATGGTGGCATAGAGAACTAATCCTCCACCTGCAGTGCTGCTATCCCATGTGGGCACCAATTCAATTGCCAGCAGTTTCACTGCCAATCTTCTGCCTGCTGATGGCCTGGGAAAGCAGCAGACACTGGCCCAAGTCCTTGGATTCCTGCAGCCACATGGGAGATCTGGTTCCTGGCTTCAGATAGGCAAAACTTTGGCCTTGCAACCATTTGGATAAACTAGTGGATGAAGGATCTCTCTCTGTCTTTCTCTCTCTCTCTGTGTAATGTAATTCTGACTTTAAAGTAACATAAATAAACCTTTAAAAGAAAAATCTAAACCTAGATTCTTAACATCAATTATTCATAGTGGAATTTCCTCCCATTTTGACACAATCAAATTGACATTTTGACTTTCTGAGTGATTTTACTTCCTTACTTTCCCCATCCACTGAGCAGCAGATCAGCTGCACGTGGCCATCCATGCGGTAATCTCCCTCTACCACACCAGCAATGGCTGATGGAAAGTTGTCTTTAAAGATAACTTCTCCCGTTCGGTCACTTCGAGCATCGACCTACAAAGAAAACAAGAATTTTAAAAAGCTTTTTTATTCCATAATTCTTTTCAGAACCAAAAAATGTTGCAATAAAAATCCGCTTTAGAAGTCACTTCATCTCACAGCTTTCAAGAATACTCCATGAAACCCTGTGACTTCCACGAGAGCTTCTCACGGCCACCAGGGAACTGCAAAGGACACCAACTGGCACACTTTGTCCTTGCACACTGCAGCTGGTCTTACATACTGGTTTTCACACAATGTTTCATGTAGCATAATGCAAAAGGGCAGGAGCTCCACAGCCAAGCTGCTCAGTTTGGATTCCAGCTCTGATGCCCACTACTTATGGATTTTGGGCGAGCTCCTTAGCCACACTGTGCTTGGGTTTTTCATTTAGAAAACAACAGACAGAGCACAGGGTAAATAAAGGTACCGCACCTCACAGAGTTGTAATGAAGCCCAAAGGAGTTAACGCAAGTATGCACTTAGAACAGAGCCTAGCACAGGAGGGACAATATCTGTTAGCTCTATATAAAAATGTAGGTCTTTATTTTATATAATTGTATAAAACAAATCATTTCATCCTGAGCAGGATTACAATTCCGGACTTTTGATGGCTTTTGTTCCCACCCTGATTGTTAGCTGCTGTAATAATTTTTTCCAAAACAATTGTGCTTAAGAGAAGTGACCCTCACAGTTCCCCTCCTCTTGGATCCCATTCCTGGCAGTTGCAGCGGGCGAGTTCAGACTTAAATAAATCTTGCTTTGCTCACTACTTTCTCCATATGGAAATTCTTTCACATGAGACAAGGACTGAGATAGTCTCCTTTGCAGAATTTTAACCATAACAAACTGATTTCACTTCTTTCTTGTTAAGCCCACACTGCATTTCCATAATATTTAGCAAGCCAGAGGGCTCATCTGCTAATGAGGCAGCAGGAATACAGGTTATTGCTTTTATAGACTCTTCTCTTTGGCGTATTCAATATGGAGGTCTGCCCAAAAGGAGAGTATAACCTTCCACGTCAATCAATGACCTTGTGAAGATGAAGCTAACTGGCTTGTCCGGCTTGGGATTTTCACACCTACACCCATGGAGCTGTGTATTTTCCTCTTTTAGTGTATTTCTGGTAAGGTAGGTAGTTTTACCACTTACATAATCATTGTGAATAAATAATAGAAATTACTTAAAATTTTAAAAGCATCCAGGTCCAGAGTTATATGTCGGGTTAACTTCTGACGATTTCTCAAGTCTAATAATTTTCTAATTCTTGAGACAATCATAAGGATTTATATTTCCCCCAGAATTTCATCCAGTGCTACAGTCTGGATGTTTGTTTTCCCCCAAAATTTCGGTACAGACATCAAATCCCCAAGATGATAGTATTAAGAGGTGGAACCTGTGGGAGGGATGTGATTCAGCGAGGAGGGCAGAGCCTTCCTTTTAGACTCTGTCCCTCTTGTACCTTGGGCTCTAAGTGAGGTTGTAAGAAGGCTAAAAGGTTCTGGGTAAAGGTAAGAAAAACCAAAGCAGGAAAGACAGGAATCAGCTAATCCACTTCAGGAAACCCAACACCCACAGATAAAAAAGCTGGGGCAGGACTTGGGGTGGTAGCCTAGTGGCTAAAGTCCTCGCCCTGCATTTGTCAGGATCCCATGTGGGCACTGATTCATGTTACAGTTGTTCCACTCCCCATCCAGCTCCCTGCTTGTGGCCTGGGAAAGCAGTCAAGGACAGCCCAGAGCCTTGGGACCCTGCACTTGTGTGGGAGACCCAGAAGAAGCAGCTGGCTCCTGGCTTCAGATCAGCCCCTTGGGGAATGAACCAGTGGACAAGAAGGTCTTTGTCTCTGTACTCCTTCTATCTGCCTTTCCAACAAAAATAATAAATAAATCTTTCAAAAAAAAAAAAAAAAGCTGGGGCAAATAGCCTCCGTGGAGTTCGGGCAGTTCCTTAAGGCAGTTTCTAACAAAACAATCCTGACTTGCCAAATGACTAGAAAACTCTGATTTGAAGTTACAAACAGAAAGAGCACAAGAGGATTTTATTTTGAAGCTACAGCTGGGAAAGCAATATGCCCACTAATTCCCAGCTTTCAGTTAGTTTTTTTTTTTAAAGATTAATTTTATTTTTATATACAGAAGGGAGGAGAAACAGAGAGGAAGTTCTTCTGTCTGATGATTCACTCCCCAAGTAACTGCAATGGCCGGAGCTGAGCCAATCTGAAGCCAGGAGCCAGGAACCTCTTCCAGAACTCCCATGTGCGTGCAGGATCCCAAGGCTTTTGGCTGTCCTCGACTGCTTTCCCAGGCCACAAGCAGGGAGCTGGATGGGAAGCGGGCTGCTGGGATTAGAACCAGCATCCATATGGGATCCTGGCTCATGCAAGGGGAGGACTTTAACCTCTAGGCTACTGCACCAGGCCCCTTTCGGTCAGTTTAAAAGATCTATTAGAAAGGAGCTATTCACACTTTCATTATTACATTATTAAAATTCCTTTTATTTCTGGACTATGCTTATAATCAACCTTCTTAATGCATTTTCATTCCTTCAAGGAAGAGCTGTAGCAAAGATCTCCCTGTAAATTTTCCGAAAGGATCCTGAGTCACTCTGTAGAGCCTGAAACCATAGCAGGAAAACAAGTTCAGAGAGACTACGAGGTTAAGTGCGGAAACACAGCCGAGGGACTCGGGTATGTCTTCTGGACTGCGCCTCAACTCTGCTGTTTAAACTCACCTTTCCATTGGACCAACCAGTTATCAGCTCACATACCCCATCAGAGTTCAGGTCAAAAGCATGGATGCTCATGGCATGATTTTTAGACTGAAAAAGAATTCCAATAATTAGTATTAAGTCTCTCAATAGTCTAAAGCACCATAGTGTCAGAGGCTGAATGATACCAACTTTTATTCTCCAGTACCGGGCTGTTTTATCATAAACACCAACTGTGCCATTGGAAAGGGCATAACCAAATCGACTGCCATACATGGGGCATAGAGAGGTGATGATCTGAAAAAAAAAAAAAAAAACACACAACTTTCCATTAACACTTGATCTAATGATCTAATGTAAATTTAATTTAATGATCTAATGTAAAGGATAGTTTTATAAAACTGCATATAGTTTTATATGCTAAAAGCAGTTTTACATTAGATTTAAAAGGGCCAGTAAAATATGCTACAAGTGGTTTAAAATTAGATGTAAGGGGTGAGCAGTGTGGTGCAAGAGGTTAAACCACTGTTAATAATGCCAACATCCCATATCAGAGTGACAGTTCCAGTCCTGGCTGCTCCACTTCCAATCACCTCCATGTCAGTGCTCCTGGGAAGACAATGGAATATAGCACAAGCAACGGAAGCCCCTGCTAGCTACGTGGAAGACGTGGATGCATTCCTGGGATCCTAGCTTTGGCCTGGACCAGCCCCAACCCTGTAGTCAACAATACAAAATACTCTGTTTCTCCCTCCTTTTCACTTACTCTTTCAAATAAAATTTTTCTAAAAATTAGATTTAAATGTGATTCTAGTCCTTTAGAGGGGAATGCATTCCTTTTCTCTATAATCCATGGCATCTATTTTAATATTGGATAATCAGGTTTAAATGAGCTCGCAGAGCCTGGTGATTTAGGTCAGGATTATTTGGCAAGTTTCAGCAAATTCTTTTTTTAAAAGGAAAACAAGGTGTTAAGAAGGAAATAAGCTAAGTGCATAAGACTCAGAAAATGTACAACAGGGCCTGGCACAGTAGCCTAGCAGCTAAAGTCCTCACCTTGCAAGTGCCAGTTCTAATCCCAGCAGCCCCACTTTCCATCCAGCTCCCTGCTTGTGGCCTGGGAAAGCAGTCAAGCATGGCCCAAAGCCTTGGGATCCTGTACCCATGGGGGAGACCCGGAAGAGGCTCCTGACTCCTGGCTTTGGACCTGCTAGCTCGGAGCCATTGCAGCTGCTTGGGGAGTGAATCAACGGATGGAAAATCTTCCCGTCTCTCCTCCTCTCTGCATATCTGACTTTCCAATAAACATTTTTTAAAAATAAATCTTTTAAAAAAAGAAAATGTACAACAGATGTTACGTGCAAAACATTTTAAGGACTGATCTGGCCTTTGTGGCCACTTGGGGAGTGAACCAATGGATGGAAGATCTTTCTCTCTGTCTCTCCTCCTCTCTGTAAATCTGACTTAAATAAACACTTAAATATATATACACTAAACAAAAATTATCCTTTGATATTAAAACAAAAGTTTAATAATAATTATGGCCCTGAAGATCTACTTTCTAATTCTGACTCTAATATAAAGAAATGTTAAGCTAGAGCTTTTCCACAAAAATCACCCACCTCATTTAACACTGAATACAAGGTGCTATGTAGGATTCCAGAATTGTTTAGTCGAAGGTACTTTTGGCAACACTTAAAGCTGTTCAACTGCCAAATAATCATTGATATTGCTGATCTAGGAAAGAGACCTGAGCTGAGAGCAACACCAAACTAAGGCGACAGGAAAATTCTGCAAAAAAATAATTTTACAAAACCTGTTTTTTCAAAAATTTAGCTACAGATTCCCCATTCCACTAATGCTGCCTTGGTCCACTGTTTCTTTCCCTTTCTTTTTGGTGGGCTCTAGATAGTCAACAAATCCCCTCAAGGCCCTAGCTCTGCTGCACATTCTCTACTCATCCTCCAGGATTTAGGAAAAAACAGGTTTCAAAAATTTGTCTTTTGGAGCTGGCAGTGTGGTACAGCGAATTAAGGTGATATCTGCAGTGCCAGCATCCCATATGGACCAGGGCACAAGCTAGCTGCTCCACTGCTGATCCAGCTCCCTGCTAATACGCAGGCAAAGCAACAGAAATGGCCCAAGTGCTTGGATTCCTGTAACCACGTGGGAGACCTTTAAGAAGCTCATGGCTTCAGACTGGCCCAACCCTGGCCACTGCTGTCATTTGGAGAGCATCCCAGCAGACAAAAGATCTCTTTCTCACTCTGTGTGTGCGTGTGTGTGCATGCGCCTCTCTCTGTAATTCTACCTTTCAAATAAATAAATTACATAAATGTATGTACACACACACACACACATTTACATCCAGTACTGACAATAAGCAAAAGTCCAGCAAAATCTGAGTAGGTCATACTAAACGGGAAAAGATGTACTACAAATTAGAATGAAAGAGATATATTTTTCTCTCTTTCTATCTGTAAATGTGCCTTTCCAATGTAAACAAATTATATATATATATATGCCCATTTGGGTGCCAGTTCTAATTCCGGCAACCCTGCTTCCCATCCAGCTCCCTGCTTGTGGCCTGGGAAAGCAGTCGAGGATGGTCCAAAGCCTTGAGACTGCATCCGTGTGGGAGACCCAGAGGAGCTCCTGGCTTTTGGCTTCAGATCAGCGCAGCACTGGCCACTGCAGTCACTTGGGGAGTTAATCATCAGGTGGAAAATATTTCTCTCTGTCTCTCCTCCTCTACATATATATCAGAGTTTGCAATAAAAATAAATAAATCCTTTAAAAATGTATTTAATAAAATAATAAAGAAAAATTTCCCTAATCTGGAGAAGGGACTGGGAAACAGCACCCGGGAGAGGCACATAACCCCCAAAAGGGTTGAACAAAAGTGATCTTCGCCATAGCAAATGATAATCAAGCTCTTTTCAATCTAACATAAGGAAAAGATCCTTAAATGTGCTCATGAAAAAAAACCAAGTGACATATAGAGAAATGGCAATCAGAATCTAAGCTGATCTCTCACAGGAAACTACACGCCAGAAGAGAATGAAGTGACTTACTTATTTATTCCAATTCTAAAAGCAAAAAATTGTTGACCCAGGCCCAGAAAAACTTATCTTCTTCTTTGAAAATGAAATAAAATTCTTCCACAGTAAAGTTAAAAAGAATATGTCTCTCCCAAACCTGCTCTACAAATGATACGCAAAGATGTTCTGTTGACAGAGAAAAGGAATAGCAGCCACCAAAACCAAAGGCAAATGTGAAGGACATCCCAGTAAAATAATAACAGTAGACTAAATCAATTAGCAACCCATCGCTAAAATAACAGGACCAAATCACCACCCATTCATATTAATCCTAAATGTAAATGAATTAAACTCATCAATGAAATGTCACAGATTAGTAGACTGGATTAAAAAAACAAAATCCATCCATTTGTTGCCTACAGGAGATACATCTCACCAACAAAGATCAACAGAAACTATATCTCATGGATTTTGATGTTTTTTGGTTTTTTGTTTCATCTTTTCAAAACACTTTCTCATTAAACTTTTCACTGACTCACTGAGCATACACCAGCATCATTTTCTTCAAGAAGATTCTTGACTTTCATTTCTTCAGTGACACATTCATCATTCAGTAGCATGTTATTCACCTTCATGTCATTTTTAACTCCTTTTTTTATCTTCCTGCTGTTGATTTTGTTTTGTGGCTTTTCATTTAAAGAGATGTACAGTAACTGTGTACTGGATATGGAGACTAGACTATCATATCCAGTAGCATGTTATTTAACTTCACGGCATTGTAAATTTCTACTTTTCTTCCTGTTGTTGATTTTGTATTGTGGTTTTTCATTTTAGGGGGTGTATAGTAGCTGTGTAATAGAGACTATCATAACCAGATATGAGGATACAATGCAGTATGCATCTCTACTTCCAGATCATAGATGGACTCCCAATGAAACTGTTAACTATGTCTTGACAACAGAATGCTGGACACTCTGCCACTGTCTATGTCCACAATGGTGGACGTATGACTGTCTATGAAGAACTATACTTTAGTAATGATATAGGGGAACTCAGTGGAGGGGGAAGGGTCTTGGGAAGGGAGTAAGGGAAATCCCAGTGCCTATGGAACTGTATCATAAAATGATAATTTAAAAAAAAAAAAAAAAAGAGCTGGAGAGCCAGAAACACAGAGAACTCACCTCTGCTGATTCACTTCTGAAATACCTATAAGAGTCCGGACTAGGTCAGGCCACAGCTGGGAGAAGAGAACTCAATCCTAGTTTTCTACATTGAGTGGCAGGGGCCAATGGCCTGAGCCATCCCCTGCTGCTCCCCACACTGCACATCAAGCTGGGATCAGCAGGGAGTGGAGCTGGGACTGAATGAAGCCCAGGCACTACAACATGAAACACTGGCATCTCGAATGAGCATCTCAACCATGAGGTCAAAAAAACCCAGCCTTCAAAAAAAAACCTTAACAGGATTTTAAATATTTTTTTCCTCTGTAACATATGGCATCATGTAACTCCTCCAGTTTTAATCCTACAACCATTTGGGTTGTCAGAAGATGTCCCGGTACTGTCACTTAACATGGCTGATCTACCTCACCCAAGGTTACCATCATTCTGAAGCAGTACTTCTTACCTCTGTTTCTGTCATTTCTGCCACAATCTCATCTTCCTTAAAAACACGGATATCAAAATCCTCAGAACCAACAAGAAGCTGAGGAGTCAAGATAAAGATAAGTCACATTGAGTTTAGGGAGTGAATGCAGGAAAATTTCACAGGTCAAACTTCAATTTATATAGGGCTGCTGTCATCCGAGAGTTGCAACCCGGCAGCAGTCAGCTGCTCAGGCAGGTTCTTTCTGGTGGGAGGGTCAACAGGCCCAGTGAGTGAAGAGGAAATGGCTAAGACACTAGAGTTCACCTGTCCTGTGGTATGCACATCTTGCCAGAACCCAGTCTTCCACTGAAAATGCTTCTCAGTACAGCAATTTCCTCTGCCTACAGATCCAAACACCTCAGCCCAGGATCCAAGGCCAAGAGAGAGGGAAATCAATGTTCAACACAACCAACTCCTACAGTCAACCATTAGAATAATTTCAAAGGCTAGGAGCCAATCTCTAAACCCATAAGATTTCTGAATAAGTTAGCCAAAACTGAAAACTATTTATGCAGATGGCTTCAACACCCCAGAGGCAGTGCATACGACAACTGAACACATCTGAGTTCCCATCAGCTATTCTGCCTCCTTCTTCTGTCTTTGAAACCTCATGGCCTTGAGTTCTGTTTCAAACACAAATGAGACCTTGCTCAAAGAGTGGAGAATGACAATCAAGGTCAGTTAAATTATCACCCAGGCACCAGAGCACCAAAATGAGTCATGGCGCACGAATTTCTCTCCATACTGTCACTGTCATAGAAAAATTCATTAAGCTAAACATACCAGAGATATTTTCTCCATACCTCTTTTTTCCCATCACCATCAAAGTCACACAGGGCCAAGGAATGAACATTATCTCCGGTAACCTGAAAATAAAACCAAAAATCATTAACATGCCATCTTTTTTCACTTCATCCGCATCCATCAGCTTCATGAGCAGGATTTAACAAAACACCAATAGATGTTATTCAAATTACTCATATTCCTTCTTAGTGTAAAAACTGCATCACTCTTTCATATTTTATTATTCACCACAGTCAGTGATTAAAGAATAAAAAAAGCAATCCTCAAGAACAGTACAAAACACAAATGCTTAAGAATACCAAAAAGAACGTTTTCTTCTCCTTACCGTCCAGAAGAGATCATTTCCTTCATAATCAAAACCCTGAAGAGCGCAATTTCCACCAATAATTGCAAGAGGAGAGGAAATATCTCCCAATGTCCCCAGTACAATTGCATTTGCCCCATCTGTTACCTAGAAGAAAAAACACACACAATCTCACAAATAAGAACATTTGGCACACACTGGAGGTAAAGCATATGCACTTTTATTTGTACACATAAATTCCTCTACCATCACTTGTGCAAAGTCACATGGTCTCCCGCGATGCAGCCCAAGCTGTCTACTGAAACCACTGCAGGGAGGAGCACACACTGGGGAAGCTTGCAGCTGCTACTCCCACTAGGCTGTTGTGATAGTCCCTGGCTCTTCAGGCCTGCCAGCGCTCCAGAGGACCAACTCTTCAGAGAATCAAGATGTGACTCAAACACCCCGACCCTGAGGTTTATAGAAACCATTCTAGACAGAACGGCTTTTAATACTATTAACCAGTTCTCTTACTGAAATTCCTTTTCATGTAAAAGTTATCTTAAAAAAGAATTATAAGGAATAATAGAAACACTCAGTAAAAACCCCACTGTGCTGGGCCCAACACTCAGGTCTTACTCAGAATTAACAAATATCTCAGACTTCTTAAAAACACTACATGAGCATTTTTAAAAGTTTTTTTTAAAATAAACATTTTAAAAATAATTTCTTTTACTAATATTTTAAAGGCAGAGTCACAGACAGAGAAGGAAAGAGAAAGAGAGATCTTCCATCTCCTGTTGTAGGCATTTGGAGGAAGAACCAGCCTCTGGAGTATCTCTCTCTCTCTTCTGTCATTCTGCTGGATGGAAAGTGGGGCTGCTGGGATTAGAACTGGTGCCCACATGGGATTCTGGCACATGCAAGGTGAGGACTTTAGCTGCTAGACTACTGTGCCAGGCTCTTAAATTTTTTAAAAAAGGTTATTTACTTTTATATGCAAGGCAGAATGACAGAAGATTAAAATGACAAAATCTTCATTCTATTTAACCACAATCTAAAAGTTGTATGAATAAATCAAAATACTGTCTGATCTCTTTGAAGTGTTTAAAATAAAGTAGACATTGATGAGATAGTGAGAATTTTATACTTATAAAGGATTATACTTAGGACCAATGCAGTGGCTGAATAAGCTAATCCTACACCCTGCAGTGCCGGCATCCCATATGGGCACTGGCTACTCCACTTCTGATCCAGCTCCCTGCTTATGGCCTGAGCAAGCAGCGGTATATGGTCCAAGTCCTTGGGATCCTGCATACAAGTGGGAGACCCAGATGAAGCTCCAGGCTCTTAGCTTCAGAACAGCTCAGTACTGGCTGTTGTACCCATTTGGGGAGTGAACCAGCAGATGCAATGGATGAAAGAGCTCTCTCTCTCCTCTCTCCTTTTCTGTAAATTGGCCTTCCAAATAAAATAAATGCATCTTAAAAAAAAAAAAAAGAACACCACAGATTATGGGCCTCACATGTTAGCCTAGCAGCTAGATCCTCGCTTTGCATGTGCCAGGATCCCATAGGGGTGCCAGTTTGAGTTCTGACTGTTCCACTTCTCTTCCAGCTACCTGCTTGGTCTGGGAAAGTAATAGAGTATGCTCAAAAGTCTTGGGACCCAGCACCCACATGGGAGACTTAGAAGAAGATCCTGGCTCCTGGCTTCAGATAGGCTCCACTCTGGCCATTGAAGCCATTTGGGGAGTGAACCAACGGATGGACGATTTTTCTGTCTCTCCTCTCTGTAAATCCGACTTTCCATTAAAAATAAACATTAAAAAAAAAAGATTGTACTTGCCTCTCTGTAGAACAAATCTGAATTATTATAGACATCGTAAGCCAAAAGGTTATTCTGCGTCCCCACTAAAAGAGTATCGTAGCCAAGCTCAGGGTTCAAGACTCCCGCAGTCAGGCAGCTCACAGCCTGGTTAATGTTGAGAAGAGAAACATCCGACTCCAGAGGGCTCTGGAAAACCCTGGACGCACTCAAATGCTGGCTCCGAGTATGAGGATTATGAATAAACACCTACAATGAAAAGAGTTATAAGCCCTTCAAAATGTAAAATTGGCATCCTACTTGACCGACAACAACGAAAAGAACTTGATCATTACCGAGAAGTCACTTTAGTCACCTACAAAACTCTAAACATTCAGGATACAGTTCTAGGTGTGGCCAACTTTCAGCTATTATGAGTGAAAGAAAACCAGTGATTTTTAGCCTTGTAGGGAACAAGGTGATGAGTAAGACCTAGATGTCTGCTACCAGAGCAATGTATATGCTACCCAGCAGCAGGATGTGCAAGTGCTTTTACAAACCAGACTACTGTGAGTTGTAGGAAGCCAACTCCAATGGGACTGCTACATACCAAGATTATACCTAGATTACAAAATAAACACTTCCTTTAGTGTCTTTCATCCAAGCACCTCACAAATTCCCTTTTTTGTTTCTTGCTCCCACCTCCAAATTTACTTCTTAACCTTTCTAAAAGTCTGGTAGTTAGTAAATCTGCTTACAAACTTAAAAGGGTCACACAAATTAAGTTTCTTGAAGGTGTTTTTTAAGTCTATGCTAACAATATGGGAGATTAAGTAATTAGTCCAAAGATAATGCATTCAGCAGTATCAGTCTTCATAAATAAAATCATTTGACTGCTTGCATAAATCACTTGACTTCCTTGGGTTTCCTCAACGAAAATGCCTGGACCAGCAAATACATTGTCAAGGAGCTGACACTGCTCTCAAGCTGGCCAATGGTCTGGGATGAGGGTGGGAGGGAAGATCTTAATATTACAGCCACTGCACCAGCACTCAGCCCCGAGACCTTGATTTGTACACTAGGTGTAATGGGAAGCCATTGAGAATTTTGGTTGTTGTACTTGGAGTAGCTGTGGCTGGTATGTGGAGGCTACACTGCAGCAGGAGGCAGGTGGGAGAGTGTAGGAGGGAAAGGAGGGAGAGGAGGCTGGAAGCCTACACTCTCCCACCTGCCTCCTGCTGCAGTGTAGCTTCCCATTACACCTAGTGTACAAATCAAGGTCTCGGGGCTGAGTGCTGGTGCAGTGGCTAAGGCACCTCTTGGGACACTTCTAGCCCTTACTGAAGTGCCTGGTTTCGAGTCCTGGCTCCTTTCTCAAGTCCAGCCTCCTGCTGCTGTGCATCCTGGGAAGGCAGTAGGTGATGGCTCAAGCACACAGGTCTGGGCCACCCGTGTGGGAGATCTGGATTGAGTTCCCAGCTTCTGTCTTCAGGCTGGCCCCTGTTCTGGCTATTGTACACAGCTGGGGAGAGAACTAGAAGATTTTATTCCCATCTTTCAAATAAAATAAATAAGTAATGTAAGAACAAAACTCTAGCATTGTGGTGCCAATTAAGCTGAAGCAGGCAGTGCTGAACGATCCACTTCCACTTAAGCTCCCTGCTATTGCACCTGGGAGAGCAGTGGAAGATGACCCAAGTGTTTGGGCCCTTGACACATCCACGTGGAAGGCTGGAAAGAAGCTACTGACTTCAGGCGTTGGTCCGGCCCAGGCCTGGTCATGGTGACCATATGGGGAACGAACCAGCAGATGGAAGGCCTCTCTACCCGTCTCTCCTTCTCTAACTGCCCTTCAAATAAATGAATACATTTTAAAAAACCCATACAATTAATAGCCATAAACATAGTTTACTGCAATCCAAATGCATCCCCAACCACAGCCTTGGCCTTTAATAAAACAACAAAAACCTCTAACCCTCCAAGGTCTGTCCCATGGCTTATAGGACCCTATATGACTGGGTCCTTGGCTGTCTCCTGACCTCACTTCTTTCCACCCCGGTAGCCTCTTTGGGGACCAGGAACACATCACGCCTGCCTCCAGTTCAAGGCCTTCACACTTGCTGATTCTTTAACTTGCCAGGCACTTAGCTCACGTATCTGCAGAGCTTGTTTCATTTCCTTGAGACCGCCAATGAAATGTTTCCATAGGCCTGAGTGATCATCCTAAAACAGCAGTTCTCATTACCTTACTTTGTCTTTTAATTGCCTGGTTCCCCCTCTCAAATGTAAGTGCCAAGAGAGTAAACCTCGTCTGTCACCTGCAGTAATACTCCTGTGGCACTAAGAACAGTATCCAGCAAAGAGTAAGCTCTCAAACTAGGGGCTGAGCTCTGGGCATGTTCAGCTAATTTATATTGCTGCTGTGAGCCAACAGCAGAACCAACGTGAATTTGTTTTGGCACTTGTGTGTCTCCTAAAAATACTAACATCATCACATGCCAGGCCTGGTGCTAAGCACTATACTTCTAAACAAAAATGAATCATGTCTTTTTTTTTTTTTTTTTGCTTAAGCATTCCAAGACACAGCCTACGAAATAATATACAACACAGGTGGACGTTTTTGGAAAGTATAAATCACTGCCCAAATGCTAACTTGTGAAGCCCTTTGTGGGGTCAGAGAATAGACACTCTCACCTCCTTCCCATCACTTTCTGAGGCCTCAGCCACTGCTTTAAATCTCTCTGAACTGTTTCTCACTAGGAAAGTGGGGAAAGGGAGGGTGGGTCATAAAAAGAAGCAACAGCAAACAACTGGTGAGCGCCTCTTATACAGCAAGCACTTGACTTGGATTCACTCACTTAATCCTCCTCCTGGGTTAAGTACAATTATTAAGCACCTTGGCCAAGGTCATGAAATTACTAGAACTAGGGTTAGGACCCACACCTGTGCTATGCTAGTGCCAATGCATTCTAACCTGGCTGCTAGGATAACAAACATAATAATGCTTTACAGGGCAAGCCGAGACTACGCCAGGTGTCACTGTACTCCACATCATTTAGACACACCTCCATCACTACACGGGACCTTGATGTGACTTCTCTGCTCTCCTAGAATACAAGATCTCTGAAAGTCCAGACCCAACCTTATTCTGACCATTCTAGCAAAAAGCAGGTGTTGGGCAGTAGTCGGGTGAAGGCTTGCTAATCACATATTCTCTCTGTAACCCTCACACTTCGCAGGTACTAAGCAACTAATAAGCATCCCGTGCATGAATTATGGGGGGTTGGGAGTGGGGGAGGCCTGAATGCACATGGACAATGCCTCCAACGGCCACGTGAGAGCAGACAGAATTCCAAGTGATAGGCCCGGTTCAAATCTGGAATCTGTTACTATGGCTAAGCCTGGTCCAGCTTCTAAACTGTAAGCTCCTTATCCGTCCAGTGACGCCTCACGGCTGGACATCGTCGGCAACTCCAAAGGCCGTTCCTGCAGGACCCCGTTCCTCTCGGCTGGACCGAATCCGGCGGTTGCCAGGCAACCCGGGCTGAGGGCGGGACCGGAGCGAGAAGCATGGAGTGCGGACGACTGGGGCCCAGGCTCGGTGCAGGTGGGAGCGGTTACCTTGCCCGCTTGGGTGGCGGCCGCCAGACACGGGTGAATCCCGTCGTAGCGCCCTATGGCCACCATGCGGGGGCTGATTTTGTGGCGCAGTTTCAGGGTGAACACGGGCAGCAGCATGATGGCGGCGGCTCAAGGAACCACAGCTGACTCCCGAAGCCGCCGCGGCGGAGCTGGCGTCACCCGCTCCACTGCAGGGCGCCGGGACAAACCCCGCCCGGCCCCGGTGCCGTCCGACGGGCCGCGCCGACGCAGCTGGTCTCAGTCCCGCCGGCTTTTCTGCGGCTGCGCGGACACGCCCAGCTCTACGTCTGCGTGGTCCGCGCTGTCCCGTCTGGGGCTGCGTGGACCCCGCCCAGCTCCTTTTGCGGCTGCGTGATCGAGCTTCCGTGAGCTGGCCTGAATCAAGTTGTTTTTTTCTGGGTAATGTGTTGTTGGACACCCCAGTCTTCCCAGGGATTCCCAAGTTGAACACCTTTGAGCTCCACATACCGGCTGCCTCAGTTCAAAGGGAGATGAATTCAAATACCCATCCTCTACTGAGGCGGGACAAATGCTTTAGGATGTGACATTTAAGTAAATTCAGGGCCCCTGTCAAATTCCGTGAAAATGCAACAGGCAAAATTAAAAAGTGGCCTTTCAACAGGTGTTTTTTGAGGACCTTTGTATATCAAGCCCTGTTCTAAACAATAGAGATACATAACCGGAAGGAAACGGCAAACTGACCTAGTGGGAGGAAGAGAGGGACAAGCAGCAAACCAGAAAGTGGCGTTAAAGGACTCTGGTGGCTCTGGCTGCCTTTTGGAAACGGACATTCAAGAATGGATCGTGTGAGGAACAGGAAATGCCACTGGCGAGTAAAAAGGAGCAACCTGGGTGGAATAAACCAGAGTGTCATGGAAGCCGAGTGAAGAGAAGATTGTCAAGGTGGGAAAGGTAGCCACAGGCATGTCAGGGGATGGGTTCTGGGAAGACTCGCCTGCTCTGCAGAGAATGTCCCTGTCAGCTTTGTGTCAGCTCTAGGGCCTGGGCATAGAGGGATAGAGAAGGGTTGGAAGCACTGGGTGGTAGGTGAGCTCATCGGCCTCGACAGCAAGCAGACCTGAGTGCAGGTTCCTCCTCCACCTGCCACTGCCAGAGCCCTGGACTCTTTATGTGATCCTGTGGTCCCGTACGTGGAGTACCTTCTGGGTCCCTCTGCTGTTACACTTGACTCTCACAGCCACCCTAAGGAGAGACAGTGTCATGTTCCCCATTTTACAGTAGAGAACCCTGAGTCACAAGAGGTTCCATGGCATGATTGCACAGCCATGGACCTGAACTTCCTGAGGCATCAGAGCCCTGATGGGAGAAAACAGAAAGGAAAAGCATGCTTCTGAGAGTGGTGTTGGGAATGCTGGATGTGCTTAGAGCAATGCCTGGCACATAGAAAGGGCTGGAGCAAGTGGCTATTACCTCTATAGGAAGAGCTGCCTTTGTTAGTGTCATTGTCGTAGTAACTTTGGAATCATCCTTTCTAATGTTTAAAAACTTTTTTGTTTTTGTTTTTAAAGATTCATTTTATTTTTATTGGAAAGTCAGATATACAGAGAAGAAGAGAGAGAGGAAGGTCTTCCTTCTGATGATTCGCTCCTCGAGTGATCACAATGGCTGGTGCTGCGCCAATCCGAAGCCAGGAGCCAGGAACCTCCTCCAGGTCTTCCATGTAGGTGCAGGGTCCCAAGGCTTTGGACCATCTTCAACTGCTTTCCCAGGCCACAAGCAGGAAGCTGGATTGGAAGCAGGGTCGCCGGGATTAGAACCAGCACCCATATGGGATCTCAGCATATTCAGGGAGAGGATCTTAGCCTCTAGGCTACTGCGCCGGGTCTAAAGACTTGTTTTATTTTTATTTGAAAGGCAGAGTTAGAGAGAACAAAGAGAAGGACAAACAGCAAGGTCTTCTATCTGCTGTTTCATTCCCAGAATTACTGCAATGGCTGGAGCTGGGCCAATCCAAAGCCAGGAGCTTCTTCAGGTCTCCTACGTGGATTCAGAGGTCCAGGGACTTGAACCGTCCTCACTACTTTCTCAAGCCATAACCAAGGATCAGGATCAGGAGTGGAGCAGCCAGGACTCAAACCAGCACCCAAATGGGATGCCATTGTCTCAGGTATTGGCCCTTTTTGTCTATTTTTTTTCTTTCCCTATTGTCTATTTTTAAGGGGATAGTATTATTCTGTTTCTTTCCAGTTCTGGGAAAAGGAAGCCAATATAACTAATCAAATTATGATGGAGACTGATCAGGATCAAAAGTTGAGTTCCTGATTTGCCAGGAAGGGGAGAAAATTGGGTCTACCTTGAAATGACCAAATAACCCCACTAGAGGGTGTACAGGTGTAAAACTTGGTGTACCTCAGAACCGGGATTCAAAGCCTGGAGGAGGCAGTGTGGGGTGCTCCCAAGTTGCAAGGCTCACGGGGGAGGAGTGGCCAGGGCAGAGGGCCAGCTGGAAAAGAATTTTGCCTCTTTCTTTATGACTACTGTAGACTTTGCTGACTTTTAGAGAAAATTGTTTTATTGTTACAATAATAATTTTAAAGAACTTTGCAGTAAAGTAGATTGAGAGTTGGAGTATCCAGTAAATTATTTCTAGGTTCCAAATCTATAACTTTTTCCCAGGCCCATTGCCTCAGAATCTGCTCATAAAGGATTGCAATCTTAGGTTCGTTAAGGACAGTGGTCTAAGGACTCTCCATCGATTCCTGAAAGGCGAGGGGCCCAGAGACCAGTGGAATGAATCAGACCACCCAGGACCTGGCTTTGGAAAAAAGTGGTGTCCTTGCTTCTTTCCTTTAGGAGCAACCCTCTAGGCATCCCACCATTCAGCCTCCCTTTTTAGAACTCCTAGCTGCTCAACTCTGTGATGTGTCCATTGTAGGGTGAGACTGTCCACTTGGTGTCTTCTATCCCATTTCACATGTGTGAGAAATAAGCAAATGAGAATAATCTGCTCTAGGTCATTTAGCATTGTGTCACATAGGAAAGTGAAAACAGCCTTCTTATAGTCGATAGACAGAAGAGTCAAAGGATCAACTACACCATTCCCCACCCTCAGAGACCCATCTGCACCAGGGATGCCTAGCATCCCAGAAAAGGGATAGAGGGTTGATGACTTCAGTCTCTTGTGGTTGCCACCAATATGCTTGTCCAAATTCTCTGCACTCTGGGATCATAACTATCCAGAAGGGCCACACATCCCAGCAATTGAGGTCCCAGGTCCTTCAAAGTATCATGAATCCCTCCTGTCAGGACTGCTGCCACCAGCCCTATTCCCCTAAGTGAAGCCAGGGTGCACAATGTTCCTTAGGTGTGTCTGGCTTAGGACTGTGCATGGTATCAGGAAGAGAAGCTGGAAGTTAGACTCCTGAGAAATGTTAAAATTGAATCATTGTGAATTCAACTTTGTCCATTGTCGGGGCTGATCGAACAGACAACAAGATACTCAATGGAGAAATGATTTTATTAATCTACACTGCAGCCATCATCCGCACTTTCAGGATGACGCACTTTGTCCAAGAAAACACAGCCTTTTATACCCTGAAAGAACCCAGATGTCGTACAAAGCTTTTATTAATCCCTATCTTATGTGAAGCTAGCAATTCTTAGAACAGGGAGAAGACATTAACACAGAGTCTTGGTATGCTTTGATTCATTATTTGTAGCTCATGGACACAAAGAGGAAAAGATAGTATTGAGGCCAGAGACGCTCTCTTCTGTTATTTTTAACCAGAGGGAGGCACAAAGGAGAGATAGCACCAGGAAATTCAGTCTGCCACTCAGTGTTCTGAGGTTAGTCACAAGCCCAGGAGTTCCTGGCCTGCAGATTGCTCTCTTATCCACTGATGCACTCAGCTCTTTCAGTCCCCATAGGTTAAGGAACTCTATGTAGGCTCCCTACTGGCATTCCTGATTGTTGTCCATTTGCCTCTCCAGATCCACTTTCTCCTTCCTCCATTCTAGTCTGTGCCTCAGAAGGCTGATCTGCAGGGCTCCTTGCACTGCCAGGTAGTCAAAGAATGGGAGGAGAAGTTCAAATATTGATCTCTCCCATGGCTGTACTCCACCGTCCGGCAGCCCAGCTTCTATCAGGAGGTTCTGCAACCTCTCCACAGCTTCCCCTGGGCCCCGGTAACAGCATTGTCTTCTCTCATTCCTTCAATCCTGGAATGACAATCACTGCTGCCTCTCTGGGTTCACATTAGCAGGAAACTAGAATCAGGAGCAGAGCTGGGACACAAACTCAAGCATTAACCGCAAGACCAAATACCTGCCCCTGCTACAATGCTGTGTCACCACATGACAGAACTGTTGCTTGGTGAAATATCCTCTGCCTCCTAACATCATGTGAGCATTGCCAACATTTGCTAGCACATAGTGGGTGCTCTTTAAATATTTTGTGAAGGAGTGATTGCCTGCTCAAGTAAATCAATAGTTGCATGTTGAATAACTTGTTTAGCAGGACTAGTGAAGCCACCTTACAATTCTCTTCTGCAGGAGAGTTCTGCCAATATTTCAAGCCTGACTCCTATCTGTCAATCAAATGGCAGCTCAACCCTTCTCTCCTTGTGGAGACCCACTCTGAACCCCTGTCTTTCTTCCAGTCCACCTGCATTATCAATCCCAGCCTGTTGGTTTGGCCTATATAACTTCTCCCCATTGAAAAATACAACATAGACTATATGGTTTTGCACTAGTAAACATTAAGAAATAGTGCATCTTTTTTGCTCTTTTGCTTGCTTGTTTGTTTGAACACCATTGACCAGCTCCATAGTAAATGGCATGACACCTGCAAACTCATGTTTAAGAGTCTGGGCAATGTGGATGATCCAGAAACCACCAGAATGAAGAAAGGGACCCATAAAAGAGTGGTTGCCATTTGCACATATTTGAGGATCAATAGTTAATTTTCCAGAAGCAGTAATATTATGCATCACATGGATATCCAGTGAATTAACTTTAAAGACTCCTGCAAAAGGACAAGAAAAATGGACTTATCAGAATTTCAATCTGATCATAGCTTTGCTGACTTAGTTTTAATTACTATTGATTCATTTTTGTTAGTTTTCCTCATTTTCTTTGACATTAGCATGAGCTTTTGATTTTGAAACATTTACCTAACCCAAATTATGATTTCTTTTTAACTTGCAAATCCACACTTCTTAATCTATTTGGTCTGATCTGTGAGAAACG